CTAACACAACATTGTAAACCAATTATACTCCAATAAAGATGTAAAAATAATTGTTTCTAAAGGCTGATAAAAGACATTATTGATGAAAGGCATTCTGCAACTCAAATAAGTTTTAATAAAATATAAACTTTTCTAAATGAAATAAAATACAAACGGGTTTGGTCAAATATTAAATGTACCTGATTAAGGGTATTAGTTCAAAATGTTGAATACATTTCTTAAATTTCTCTCTTATGTATTCTTTAATAAAGTCTTAAGGTATAACAACAACAACAAAAAAACACAAACAAAAAAAACACATTTTATAGATCACTTTACAATTCCCCACCTAGGAAACTATAGAGGACTTCTTTGTTCACTTGGAGAAGGAGAATAATCATTGTTTCTTTTTGTTTCAATGGATAATATTCATTTTTTCCTCCATGGTAGAAATAAATTTTTTACTTATTCCAAAAGATTTCATATTAGATTTTATTTAATGATTCTTAATACTGATATAGTTGGTCTATCATCCATGGTGAATGAAAAAATAGCATGATAATGGTGAATTCTTTTTGAAGATATTTTAGTATTGCCTATTTGTTTTCCTGATAAAAAGTAAGCAGTGAAGCCATCCAAAGAGAGGAAACAAAGTGTAAGAAACCAGTAACAAGTTTAAGGTAACTGGAGCAGGACAAATGAGAATCCATTTCAAACAAGTTAGGAGGATGGGGATTCTGTGACATAAGTACCAATATATCAACAATTATACCTGAAAACTAAAAATCCTTCTAATACACACAGAATTTTATAGTAATATATGCCAAAATAAAAGAATTGCTAAAGAGCATCTCTTTTGGATTTGGTTCCTCCATGTTTTATTCCTGCTCTAAAGAAAATAAAGTAAAATAAATAAATCATCTGTTTCACCTTGTCTGCCCTCCACCTCCTTCTGGGCCCCAGATACTGAGTTTCCATTTCTCCCAATTACTATACTCAGGATTGTGTGGGACGTTCAAAATATGTAAATCTGAGTTTTCACGAATAGAGGAAAGGTGTGGATTTTACAAGCATGCTGGGGGATGGATGCGTGTTCAGTGTGAGAGAAGTGGATGAACGCACCATTGACAAAAGGCAATAGGAAGGAAATTAAATATAAGGCAGGTTGATAGAGAGGACAAATTACTACAAAAATAGATCTTCAAGAAAAATAGTACATTACAAACCCAGGTTATGATAAGTAAACAAAGATAACTCAAAGTTAGGTTGAGGAAGAGACAACTATATTCATGTCCAGAAAGGAATGTGCTGGAATTGTGGCATCTGTGCCCATGGTAGAGTGGCAGACTGAAGATGAGGTAGAGGAACATGCCATCCCATTTCTGCCCCTTCATCTTCATCTTTGCTAGTTTTATTTCCCTCAGCTACTGACTAAAAGACTAATAATAATCCCAGGAAACTCCAAGACTAACATTTTGGAATTCAGTTGTCCTTTTACTGACAAATTTGCTGATAAATTTATTGTAAGCCTGGAGTAAAAATTTTGCTCAAGGACATTTTATTTAGTGGAGTTTATTTCAGTTACTATACCTAAGACCTTGTATGAGATATCCATCCTATACAAGGAGAAATAGAAGCCCAATATGCCCTATAAAACATATAAAATTATTAGTACTAGTAGATTTTCAAATCTTTCTGGGACAATCTGTTAACTTCTTAAGCAAAATGTTGCTTTGGGCCTATTTTTGAATCATTAAATAAAACTTCCTTTTATTAGTAGTTCTCATTTTCGTGGCAGTTTTATCTAAAAGAAAATGAAACAATTCCAATGAATATTTGAGCATCCAAACTGAGGATCTTAGAAAAACTTTCTCATGTTCTACAGTTTTCCATTTAAAAAAGGTAGCTAGGAATCACTGTTTTGTCCATCTCCTATCTCTCCTCCTTCATAAGAATTTTTGGTTTTGTTTTATTTTCTATTTCTCTTTGAAAGTTCTTCATGAATGCAGTGACCTCTTAAACAGGGTTCCCACTCTCCAAGTGGTATCCAAGCCATCCAGTAGAATGCAGAAGAAAATATAAACATATCTTGTAATCTAGAAAATAAATTAAACCTTACTAATAATTATTATTGATCTCTCCCAAACACACTTTATCCTTCTAGCATTGGTCACATGTAACCTAAGGTAAAAGATGCAACTTGGAAGGAAAAAGGGAATTTCACAGTTTGGGGAGGGTTGACAGAGGCACCCTGAACTCCTTCCTTTGACAACACTATAGTTCAGTGTGCCAGCTTTTTGAAGAATAGCAATCATCTTAATAGTAGAATCTTTACTATACTATGTGTATTAGTATTAATGCCACAACAAATCACCACAAGCTTAGCTGCTCAAACAACATAAATTTATTAGCTTGCAGTTCTTTAGGTCAGAAGTCCTACATGAGTCTCACGGGGCTAAAGTCAAGATATCAGCAGGCTGAGTTCCTTTCTGGAGGTGCTAGAGGACAATATGTTTCCTTGCTCATTTGGATTTGCTGGCAAATTTCAATTCCTCATTGTTGTATGACTGTGGTCTCCATTTTCTTGCTAATTGGCAGCTGAGGGCCATTCCCAGCTTCTAGAAGCCACCCCATTCCTTGTCTCGTGACACTTTTCCTCTATCTTCAAAACCAGCAACAATAAGGCAAGTCCCTCTCATGTTTTGAATCTCTTATCCCTTCTCTCTCATTGCATCTCTCTGACCCATTCTTCTGTCTTTCTTTCCACTTTTAAAAACTCATATGATTAGATAGGTCCCACCTGGATATTCCAGGATAATTGCCCCATTTTAAGGCCTTTAATCTTAAAGTTATATGTCAAAAGTTTTGTCATATAAGATAACATATCAAGAATTCTGGAGATTATGGTCTGGGCATCTTTGAGGGACCATTATTCTGCCTACCACACCTTGAAATTATTTTGTGTCACAAAGAGGTTCACCTGCATCCTTGCACCATAATAAATAAACAAATAAACATTGAAAATAAAAATTTACTTAGCTGTTTACCTACAAAATAAAAGGCTTGGCCCATTATTTTAAAATATTAAAATGTTCCATCTTCAAATTGCAAAAACAACTACTGATCGACATTAGAAGAGATTGAAATTTACTAGGTGAATTTCAATAAAAGCATTGGTATATTTGATAAATGAGGTTTAAGTGCTAGTAAATGATTTAGTAGTGCACCAACCAGGCACTTCTGCCATTTGCATTGACTAGGCACTGAGAGTGAACTTAAAATGAGTTGTCAATATGAAGTGAATCGTTAAAATTTATGTCCACACGAAATCTGCACACAAATGTTTAAAGCAGCTTTACTTAAAATTGTCAAAACTCAGAAGCAACCAAGATGTCCTAAGTAGATGAATGGATAAATAAACTAAGGTACACCCAGAAAATGGAATACTATTCAGCGAACTTTTAATCCATGAAAAGACATGAAGGGAACTTAAATGCATATTACTAAGTGAAAGAAGCCAATCTGAAAAGACTATATTCTGTTTGATTCCAACTATACAGTATTCTGAAAAAGGCAAAGTATGGAAACAGTAAAAAGATCAATGGTTGCCAGGGGTTAGGGGTAGGGAGAAGGATGAATAGGTGGAGTATATAGGATTTTTAGGGCAGTGGAAATACTCTGTATGATACCATAATAATGGATACATGTCACTTTACATTTGTCCAAACACACAGAATGTAAAACACCAAGAGTGAACCCTAATGTAAACTATGGGTTCTGTTGATTATGATGTGTGAGTGTAGGTTCATCAGTTGTAATAAATGTACCATTCTTGTGGGGGATGTTGATACTGGGGGAGACTATGTATGTGGGTGGGCAGGGGATATATGGGAAATATCTGTACCTTCCTATCCATTTGCTGTGAACCTAAAACTGCTCTAAAAAATAGTCTCAAAAAAACAAAAAAAATGTTTAAAAATGAAGTGAACCAGATTTTAGAATCATCTTATGAAATATAAAATGAAGGTTTGAAAAATAATTGTACCCTATTAGATTTCTTTCACCAAAAAAAAAAAGAAAAATCAAATGAGTGGAAAAAGGGAGTTTTAAAACAAAATCTATTTTAAAATAATGTTTATTTCAACTTCATCTCATCTCTTAAAAGGGATGTTTTTGTTTTTAAATGGATATTATTAATTTAGCAGTAATTCACATAACAAATATATTGTTATAAGTAAATATCCTTTATAAATAAATATATGTGTATATTTATAGTTCATGCCCTAAATTTTTACTTATAGTTGTGAGCCACCAAACTGAAAATTATTATACTAATAAGTTCATACTAAATACATTTGGTTGCTAAACTGCAAGTTAAAACTACCTAGAAAAAATCCTTATCAATCTATCATCACTTTTGCAAGAGTTTTATAACAGGTAAGTCAAATCCTGATTTGTCATCATTTCAATTTGCCACTCAAAATGTCATAAAAGAGTAGTTACTAAGGAGCCCAGAATCTTTCCATTTTGGAAATATTCAACAAACATTTTTTTTAAATGCCACTTTTTCTAATAGGCAACTGAATTTTAAACACTGAACTTTAAAAGTCACTGGAACATTTGAGATCTCATTTATACTTCTTCAGACTGTAGGGAATTTTACTTGCTGGTTATCTGAACACATATTCCCTCATTTCTTGCTGTGAAAACATCCAAATAAAATTTTCTAAATGCTTTAGCAACAGCTAGAAAACCTCTGGTTTTCTTGGTTCCTCTATGGTTGTTGCATAATTGATTTTTTTGTGACTAGAAAAACTAGTCACAAGCAAAGATGTACATATTGTTAGCCAATGGGTAGTAAATTACGAATAATGCTCATAAATTTATTTTTCTTTGGTAGAATGGATTTTTTCCCCCTCAAGTCATGCTATTTATTTGTGTTTGTGTGTTTGTGTTGTGTATGTAGTCAACACATACAGCACGTTCCTTCGAAAAATAGAAGTTAAATCCATCCCACTTACCAAACTATTCCCTGAGCCCCAGAGCCAATAGGCTTTAGATTCTGGTAGCGCTTGAGAACTGTGAAGGTTGAGTCTCCCACTTCCACGCTGTAGAACTGGTTGTCAACTTTGCTTTTGCTCATGTTGTAATGTTTGGCAATATATGACACATCCACTTGTTTATCGAATCCCTGTGAAAAAGAACAACAAAAACTTGAGACAAGAGAAAAACCAGAATGACAATGAGATACAGAAAAGCCTGTTCTTTCAATGATTGCTAATACTTTGTCATCTGTAATAATTATATAGACCTACATTTAACACAGAAAAAAATATATATATCAGTCCATGTAAGATAACCTGGAGTAAAATATCTTAGAAAAAATGCAAAGAAAAATTTGTTTTCAATATTAAAACTATTTATGATAAAATATTCTTAGATCTGCATCGTCTTTTCTGAAATGTTTCATTAAAACCATTTATTTATGCAGCAAACACCTACTGAACATATACTGGCCCCAGAGACTATGTTAGGTACTTCAGAGGTGATCCCTGATCATCTGTTATAACAGCCATATGAGGAAGAATGAAAGAATGTATCTACATCCTTTTCCTAGAAAGAACTGAGATATAAAATAATGCATAGTCTTAATTAGGCAAATTTGAATTAAATAGTGTTGATTTCATTTGCTCTCAATAATACCAAAAATGCTACTGCATTAAACATTGAAAAATTTTAGTTACTAACACTGTTCTAAACTGCCACATGACAGCTTTTTTATTTATTGCCAGCTTAGATTTTAAGTATCTCAATTGCTATATCTTTTGTTTATCAATAAGAGAAGTTCTATTAATTATATTTAGCAATTGAAGAAATTGTTATTTTGAATCATGATTTATGAATATATATAATGTAAATATCCATTATCCATGATTATTATTTACCCATAAATGATCTTACATTGCTTTTTATGACATTAAATAGTTTGGATTCTGTAGTGAGAAGGAACCTTACAGAATACTATCTAGCCTTTTCCTTGTGGCACACACTGACGGATGTTTACCCAATAGTCATTCGTCTCTTTCTTGCTGATTTTGTTCAGGTTTTGAGCACTCACATGCTCTGTGGGTTCCTTCCCAGTTCCAGCACTTGAAAATTGAATACTCTAAACCAGTGGTTTTCTTTAGAGGTGACACTAACCCTTAGCAGGCATTTGGGAGATCTGTGGGCATGTTTTGGTGTGCCACAATAATAGAAGATGTGGCTTATTGACCAATGCTGGTTGTCCTGTAATGAGTGGGACATTCCCACACAATGAATAATTACATACTTACATCTTTTGAGTATGTCAAAGCTTTAATTAGTAAAAAACAAAACAAAACTGGCTTTAATGTTCTGAGCCCAGAATCTAAACTAAAGATCTTTGTACGGTTTTAATATATACTGACCTCCGAAAATCTAATTCTCACATAATCTGAAAGAAGATTTAAACCTCCTTAGGCTCTGGACCTGTAGTTGGTAATAAAGCCATTTCCTTAGACATTTTTGGCATTTCATTTCTAATTAAAAAATTGAAATAGGAGTACAAACTAATTTGCCCTGTATGCTCTTGGATGAGAGACAGGCAGCATTAGTAATGAGGAGAATACAATGGGGACTTTGTGGACAAGGGTGGCAAAACCTACGAATCTAGTACAAGAACCTTAAGACCCCAGATGGGCTTGAGAGCAGAACAGTCGTGACAGGCACCAGCCTATGACTGGGAGACATATGCTAGCAACAATCCAGTACAAATGCACACAGACCTCAAAGAACAGAGTGGACTATAAATTAGGAATCTAGGTTGTTTGGATGGAGACTGAAAATTCAGGTAATTCACAAATAAAATCATGAGAGGTCTGAAATCCAGGAGGCAGTCTATGAAGTACAGAATAGGAAATTAAACAACACTATTAAGAATCAGGGCATTGTGAGCCCATTCATGGAGACTAAACAGGGTTTAGAATTTAGACAATGGGTGTGGACAATAGCAGAAACAAGAACATTATAACGATCCTTTATTTCAACTACAGTATCAGGAACTGTTCTCTACACCATAGTCCATTTCTATGCTAGACTTTTTAATGTATCAGTAAACTAACCCTACTAAAGTCATTTTTTTTCCCTTGGTAAGGAAAGGTAAAAAAGCAACTGGAGCTAGACTAACAAATGAATTTCATCTGTCAAGGTTAATTTGGTACAAAGTGCCCGACTTGCCATTTGTCATGTTCTGACCCTTCACATCCTGTACTACTCTAGCTCCTGACCACCCACAAAATTCTTAGCACACACTAGTCTCATCAAACCGAAGTAATCTATTTCCCTTTCCCCACATATTCTCTTCACCTCTGAAACGTCGCTATTCCAACTGCATTGCATGTATGTAGTAATCATATGTAATGACCTTTATGTTCTAGACTTCTGGCACTGGAGATACAAAAAAAAGATAAGTTCCCCATCTAGATGGAGGCAGTAAAATAAGCAAGTAGTTAAAATATGGAAAATATATTTTATAGCAGAATAAAGAAAAGATGCTAGGAGCAAACAGGGAGTAGCAACTAATTGCCTGCATTCATTCATTATCATTAATTCATCCAACTACTATGTATAAAACAACCATGAATGCCAAGTCATGGTATAAAATTGGTAATGTTGGAAAGAGACTTGATTTGTGTTTTCTCTGGCTAACTATATGCCCAGTCCTCCCCTCTAACTGGTTCTCAGATGTGAGTGTGCATTTGGACTACCTGGGGAGCTTGATAAAATACAAATCACTGACATAAAACCTTGGAGATTTGGATTCAGGTCTTCAGCATAGGTCCTGAGGATTTGGAGATTACTAGGCAGTCCAGGTGATTCTGATTTGAGGATCTGAGGATCTGACTTTGAGAAAGGCAGCATTAGAAAATCATTCTCACAGTGTGCTCCCTGAAGCATCAGTATCAGCATCACCTGTAGACTTGTTAGAAATGAGGCTGCTCACTCCCACCCCACACCTATTAAATCAGGAACTCTGAGGCCCAACATTCTGTTTTAATAAGGCTTCTAAGTATTCTGATGCATATTGAGAATCACACACTGGAGTGGAAGGACTGCCTGAAGTCTGTGAAACAGATCACATAGCTTTGCCTGAGATATTTGGAAACTAAAACACTTATTATGAAGCAGAAATAATATTTCTGCTTCTGCATCAGGGAACATACACTTGGTGTCTTTACGTATTGCCAAATTCCATTGTTCACGGCAAACACACACTGGAAACCAGAGTCCTAGTTAGAACAAGGATTACCCTACATCTCAGATTCAGGTATTTGAAAGACACCCGCTGCTCCAGACTCAAGAACTAACGAAGTCGTGGTACTCAGGACAAGTCACCAGCTGGCCAAGTGCTATAATGGAGTATATCATTTCATCACAGCAATTGTTCACACGCCTGAGAAGTACCCTGTAATTTTTCCCAGTGCATACTTTGGAGCAGGACTTTTTATGTAATGGGGAAGTTATATACAGACTTGGTGGTAGTTTGGTAAAATGGTTAAAACAATCATAGAGCTTAGACTAAGAGCAAAATTTTAGGTACAAAAGTATTCCCAGTCAAAAAGAAACAAATAAAAGCTATTCAAATGAAATACCTAATGCCCTGACACATTTTCTAAAATAAGAGCTACTCAGTGATTTTTTTATCCATTTGAAAGCATATAATTTCTCACAATAAGATTAAAAATCATCATTGTAAAATCTGTGAATTCACATACACACACACACACACACAAAATTTTCTTCCTCAATTTCCATGCAGTCTTATCATGACTATAAAGTTCAAATATAAACTTTTCTCTAAAAATAAGCCCATGGGGCTTCCCTGGTGGTGCAGTGGTTGAGGGTCCGCCTGCTGATGCAGGGGACACGGGTTCGTGCCCCGGTCCGGGAAGATCCCACATGCCGCAGAGCGGCTGGGCCCATGAGCCATGGCCGCTGAGTCTGCGCGTCCGGAGCCTGTGCTCCGCAACAGGAGAGGCCACAACAGTGAGAGGCCGGCGTATCGCAAAAAAAATTTTTTAAATAAATAAATTTAATAAATAACTAAAAATAAGCCTATGAAAATATGCCATCAAGCACACTACGGAAAAATATTATCAATGCAGAAGAGATTTTTCACCCGTTATATGTTTTAGTATATTCCTATTCAGATCACAGAACTGATGATTTGAACCCAAGACAGGAAGAATCAGAAATTCGTACTGGGAAGGCATGACTGGCCAATAGTTTAAGTCAGGGATTCTGAAGTTTTAATATGGATCAGAACTACCTGAGGAGCTTGTAAAACATAGATTGTTGAGTCCCACTGAAAAGTTTCTGATTCAGTGGGACTAAGATAAGACCAAGAGTTTGTATTTCTAACAAGTTCCACACTTCGAGAACCACTGTTTTAGAGAACAGTAAGAGATGTCACATTCAAAAAAGGCTAGTTGGAGTGGCAAAAACTGGAGGAAATGCAGGTCAAACCAAGTAAACAAAGGATGTGGAAGTTAAAAATAATGCCATGATGACTTTCCTTGGTATCAGCACCTCTATAAGCAGACCCAGCTGTCATTTTCCCTGGGATGTGTTTTCCTATCTCACAATTACAATAGAGTGTCCAGTCAATTTTCTCTCAATTATCTCATGAAAATAAACATTCCATCATCTATTTATATTAAATTTATACTAAAACATTTGGGAAGAATGTATGAAACTCACAGGTATTCATAAATGCTTGTCAAAATGAAAAGTGTTTTTCCAGAGAAAAAATTAAGATGTTGATTAAATTAATTATAAATCAGAAATGTTATATTAAAAATGAAAAACATCACAGTGGTGACTTTTGGAGATCAATACGGCTCAAAATAACTACAGATTTAGAATAGTCTATTCTACCATTGATTCAAATTAATTTTAAAAGTAACTTATTCCCCCACTGAATATTAATCTTATATTTAAATGACTCAATGATTTATTTTATATTGACATAATAAAATTTTCTTTGAAAAAATTCAAAGCAAACTCATTTCCTCCCTGCCCCCTATCTGCCAAAAAAATTTTAAGCTAAATTCAAAGAAGATTTTATTGCTGCTGGCAGTCTGATAGGCAGAGAGGAAATTTGAATATAAT